AAGAAAGAAAGAAAGAAAGAAAGAAAGAAAGAAAGAAAGAAAGAAAGAAAGAAAGAAAGAAAGAAAGAAAGAAAGAAAGAAAGAAAGAAAGAAAGAGGCAGCCCCTGCCCTCATGGGCTACCATTAAAGACATTTGATTCTGCTGGGTCTCCTCTATTCCTTAGTTACTTACACTGATACTACACCCACATGCTAGGCAATCTATTCCTACAAGCAGCCCAAAGACCATACCTACAAAGAGGTAGGCATGTCATAAGGTAAGACACTACTTACAGAGAGAACATTTGCCCAGCAGAATCAAGGTACTCTTTTGTAGGGCATAAATTAGAAGGGAGATTTCAGGTGCAATCACTTCCCTGCTGAGAAGATATTTAATCCCACTGGTGACCTCTGAATTGGATCTAGTGTCTCAAATTTAAGTCTCTTCAGGAAGTGGGTGATATTTAATAAATATGCAAAACCTCCTCTCTACACTAAGTGTCTATCAACAGATGTGGTATGTGCACACCAGAGAATATCACTCAGCCTTCAAAAGGAATGAAATTCTGACACCTGCTACGATATAGATACACCTTGAAGACATTATGCTAAGAGAAATAAGGCAGTCACCAAAGGACAAATACTATATGATTCCACTCATCTGAGGTACTTCCAGTAGCCAAATTCATAGAGATAGAAAGTATAATAGTGGTTGCCTGGGGGTTAAGGGGAGGAGAGCATGAGGAATTCTGTTTAATGGCGACAGAGTTTCAACTGGAGAAGACAAAAAAGTTCTGGAGTGGATGGAGGTGAGCTGTGCAACAATGTGAATGTGTTCAATGCCACTAACCATTAAAATGGTACATTTTATGTAATACATATTTTACCACAACAAAAAGAAAGCAAGAGTCTAAGGAGGCCATAAGGTGCGGGGAGGGGGGGTGCTTTTTAATGTTAGGGAAGCTTCTAAGCCCATAATAAATATCACAAGGTGACAATGCTCAGAGGGCATGACATGGCCTGAAAGGTCAGTCTGGTTCCACCTGACCTAGAGCACCCATCTGGGAAGGGTATTCACTTCCACACACAAGAATAGCCTATCATAGGGTCTGGTTTATAGCTGTACCAACTGGCATTTTGGGGACGCTATACTAAGAGTGCCTTTCAGACAATGAAAACATTAACCTCCCTGATTTTTCCACACACACACTAAATCTCACACTCTTATGCCAAACTGTTCTTGGCATAGATAAAATGGCAACAATGAACAGGTATATCAAGTCTATACACATAAACAGGCTCTCCGTGGAGAGGGTGACAGTGGCTATAGTGATGGTGGGTGGGCAACAGCAACTCTGGACTCAGAAAGCACATACTGGCACCAACGCTGGGCACTGTTCGCTTCCCAAGCCACCACCTGTCAGCCAAGCCAGTGGCAACTACTGTTTTATACTGTGCTTCTAAATAAAACAGTAAGGTTCAACACAACTTGGGCATGCAAGTGGGCAGAATCCTTTCAAGAGGGTATGAAAGTCAAACTCAAGTAGGATGAGGTTGGCAAAGTAAAATTTACAGAGATGCTATGGGAGCATTGGAAACAGACGTTTATTTAACAGAAACTTACACAAATTTGATACAAACCCTACATTATGCAAAGCTTTATCACAATTCTACACATTGTAACTTGTGGGAGTTGGTTGGAGAGTGGGCTGTTATTATTATAATTATTAGCATTTTGAAAAGGGACCTTTTCTATTGGAAAAAGTCACAGAAAAGGGCTACAAAATGGTACAAAGACACTCTTGGTGATCTCCCGCCTTCCACCCCAGGACTGGCCTCGAATGAGAAAGCTGAAAGGGCTGGCAGGAGGGCTGTGCCCATCCAGTCTCCCCTTTCAAAGGCAGAGAGATTCTCAGGCTCAGAACCATTTCAGTAACACTGGCACTCAAGGACTCTTGCCGAGGAGAACATCCAGCGTTAGACTATGAATTCGTTATTGGGACTCTGCTTACGAGTGAGGGAAACTCAAGAGCATGGACATGTAGAAGACCTGGAATAGAACCGAGTGGCTCTGCCGGTCAACACAGCTCCCTCGCCAGGCCACAGATCCAGTGTTGAATTACGTAGGCCAGTATGTTCACTTCTACCCACACGGCCATAAAAGGACATGTTAGAACGCGTGTCTTTCTCCTTTACCCCACCAGCAACTGAATTTGAGGTTCCCATCATTCAGGTTGGCCTTCCTTGCCCTTGGGGACACTCTAGAACCTTAGGCCACCCCAAAGCCTGATCAGTAGAAGTCTCCCTTTTCCAGTCTCCTCTGGAAGTTGTTAGGTGACCAAATTAGTATCATCTCAGCTGATGCTTATTTGTTGTCTTTTTTTTTTCCCCTCATTCTTCGCTGCGTTATTTTAAACAAAGCTGTCTGTGTTTGAAAATGTTGAACTCGTAAAGATACAGTTAATCACTAGATGGAATTCCTTTCTGAACTAGGCCTCGTCAGACATGACAACCAGAAGTCGAGCTGTTTCTTGACATCCAGATGAATGGGGTTTGCCTACGGGGAGGGGGGAGGGAGTCTTTTGGGGAGTGGGGAGAGCCTTTGTGGCTAATTTATTTCCGTCACGTCTTAACACATAACCATGTAACATCACCAACGCTTCCAACAGAATTTTGAAGGAAGGAAAAAAAAAAAACCAATCACTCCTCACTTACCACATCCAACTCGCAGAAATAAAAATACCTAAAGCACATACATGAATGGCTTTTTTAAAAGCCTGAGAGAGCAGAGTTGATCTTTATTTTCTCATTAAAAATGTGGGGTCTTTTTCCTTAGAGTTAATATGCAGTCTTTATTTTACATTAAGTAACTCTTTTGATTTCGTGTCTTCACAAAATTGCTTTTAACTTTCGAAGTAGGAGGTACTTTAAACAAAAATACTGTGCCACGTCACCACTTTTTTTCTTTTAAATATTGAAATAAATAAAATAGTTAACTCTCTTTTTTTCCGTCACTTTGTTCGTATTCAGTTATTTCTACTGTAGAGCAATTCCAGTCTGACCTGGGTACGTTCTCACAGACACTTAAAGAAAACGTAATGAAGAATTTTAAAAAGGAAAAAAAATCTTCTTATTGCACAAACTTATTAGGCCATTCCCGAGACTTCTCTGAGCTGAGCTGAGCGGAGTTGCGCTGGAGGCTTTTCCACAATCCAGGCTCCTGTGTTGGCTGAAACACACGCGCAGGAGGGGGCCGGGCAAGGGAAGAGGAAGAGGAGGAGGAAGACAAGGAGGAGGAGGCGCAAATCAACGTGGCTTCTTTTCACCTTCTTCAGAAATGGCTTGCTTGAAGGGGGCCAGGGTGTCCAGGTCATAGAGTTGACTGCAGAGGGAAAGGCAACGAAAGATAAAACAAAAAACAGCAGCACAGAACAACTACCTAAAAAAGGGAAGATTAAAATGAAGGGGGTGGTGGCGATGACATGAATTGAAAAGAAAAACAAAAGAAGAAAGAGAGAGAACACACTACCTACGGCCATGCTAATGAGACCATGGCTACGCGAGAGGAGAATGTGGCTCCTGGCTCCTGTGCCTGGAGCAGCAGCAGCACGAGACGAGCCACAAGTAGGGCAGGTCAGCGGCACCTGGGCAACCGACTGACACAAGAAACAGAAGGGGACACAGCTGGATTTTCAAACCCTAGGTGGTATAGTAGACAAAACTGGGTGCTGGCCAAATTTATCGGTTTTTTCTCCTCTACTTGGAAGCTGAATCTTTTCACTGTTAAAATACCCCGGAAGGACTGTTATGATGCAATCTGTCTGCCTGTCACCTAAGTGGAAATGAGTTGTTCTATGGTGTAGGACAAGTGGCAGTTACAAAAACCCCAACCGATGCCTCATTTGGCCGAAGGCCCAAAGGACATTGCTTCAAGTGCACACCCTCACCCCCCAACCCCAAGCGATTCCAGGGTGTCAGAATTACTCAGGGAGAGAACTAAGCCGAAAGATCCATTCCAGTCAACTAGCCCAGTGATCCCAACTGTCAGCCTTGGAACCTGGGGGTAGTTCAATCCTGCTGGCTCCTTTAGCCAGGATGAATACCAACCAGGAATGGATTTGGCTTCTAGCTGAAATGAAGTCTAAGTTATTTTAGGCTTTGGAATGGAGTAGTCTGCACAAAGGAGGAAGCAATAAAACCAAGGACTATCACATTTCACCCCAGAAGCAGTCCCCGAGGGCAGAGATGAGTGCCCCTAAGCAGTACCCACATCACACTGGGCTGGGTGGCAAGGGAGGGAGGAAAGGAAGGAGAGGCCCAACCGGAAAATGGCCAAGGTGGCAGGGAACAAACCTCAAAATCAAATGAGTAGCTCAGCCTCCTCCAAGGTGAACCCCTCTACCCCCCATCTTTCTTTCTAGTACCCAAGGCCTTACTGCTCCAGGGTACAGGACTGGTATAGATGCACTTCTAAAACTGAGACTCTGTCTACTTATGTTTTCAAGGGAAGGCTGAGAAGAGACTCATTTCTACACACCACCAAGCCCTTCCCTGACCTCTCTCCTATTTTTTTCCCCTCCATCCCATCCCATGTCCTCCCAACGTCTCACCTCTCAGATCTGCTTTCCTGGTGCCCCTTCCCAGACCCAGTCCTCATCCCTAATGCTCATCTCTTCACTCTCCCACCTGCCTCTAGCCCCTTCACTCCTCTGATAAGATTAGGTGTCCTTCAGATCTCCTACAGGTGCCTACCAAGTGTTCTCTTGTTGGGCATCCAAATTTTCACTCCCTGCCAGGAGTCTTTCTGTCTCTACCAGTGTCCGTGATCTCTCTAGTCAGATATCACTTACCACTCGTTTACCAGTCTGTCTCATAGCCATACCTTCATGACCTTCTAGTTTCCTCAAATTTCCATCCTTGCCCCTCCAACACACACACACACACACACACACACACACACACACACACACACACACACTTTTCTTCTTTTGCCTCATTTAAGTCACCTGGAAAATAGCTGGTTGGTTTCCAACTTTGTGCTCCCAACATCCATCTTCTCCTTCACTTCCTCTGGCTGGGCCAACTTCAGGCCATTGAAAACTTCCCACTGCACCTCAGTCCCCTTCAAGGAGGCTACCTTTCCATCCCTCCACACATCTTCAACTTTCCCCCTGCTCCGGTCCTCACACCCTCATTCTCCCTCCTGACTCCCCATTGCTACTTTACTGGCTCCTGGATCTCTTCTACCCCCTCTGACTTGACCAGTGGATGCTGTGTCCAGATAGGACCTCTCCAACATTTCTATCCACAGTATTTATTGAGCATCCCCTATGTATGGAGTGAGACACTAAATCCTTCCACTAATCAGTTTAGAAGCATCGCTCAGTTCTCAGTTTATTTCAACAAATAATTATGGCACAATGGTGTCAGGCACTGTCTGAGGGACATGAATGACCTCATCTTTGCCCTCAAGGAACACATCATCTGTTTGATGAGAAAGACTACAAACAGTCATGTTATAATAAGCACTAAACTAGTATCATGAACAAAACACTACAGACCAATACTTAAGCATATATTTGCATTGTGATTTTTGCCATTTTACATGGCTTGGGTGGCAACCCCCAGCTTTGCCTTTTGTTCAGCTCCATCTCCATCCTCTCCGACAACAGACATTCTTGGCAACAGAATAAATAGCAATAGCCAATCTAAAGCTCTTAGTTGATCTGGATGACTTCCTCCAAGAAAATCTCCTTGACTACTGTAGTCCCCAGCAAAAATAATTACATATCACCCCATGATGCTCTTATACATTTTTAACTGCTTGTGAATATCTAGTCTGCCCAACTATATTGTCAAAAATCCAGTGGACATCAATTCCATTGGCCCCATGTTTAATTTCATCCTAGCCTTCGCAGGGCTGAACAGCTGTGTGCATATTGCTATTATTCAGTCTCTAGTTGCCAAATAAACAAAGGTATATATGAATGAAAGTATTATCATCCCAAGTGTATAAACATGGTATCCTGAACCTGAGCTGAAAGGACAAATGTCTGAATCACCAATAATGGGATACATCAATCATATACCCTCTGATAGGAGGCCCTAAGAAGGATGCAACATCATTTCTGTGGCACTCTCACCCAAATTCATAACCTGACTGTAACTTAAAAAACAGCACACAAACCTGAAGTGAAGGGCTTCCTATAAATTGATTAGCCAGCACTCTTCAAAAAGCATCAAGGTATGAAAGATAAGGACAGACTATGGAACTAACAACTACAGATTAAAGGGCTTTAAGAGGACATGACAACTAAATATGACATGTGATCCTCGATGAATCCTGGACCAGAAAAAGGACATCAGTGAGACAGGCACAATCTGTAGGAGACCTGTAGATTGTGAGGTATTGCATCAAAGTTAATTTCCTGATCTCAATCATTGTACTGAGATTATTTGAAGAATCTAAATACAAGGTACATAAAAATTCTTTGTATCACTTGTGTGAGTTTTTTGTAAAATCTGAAATTATTTCAAAATTAAAAAATATTTAAGTCTTAGTCATTGGTTGAGGGCCAGTATTGAGGTATTTTGTAAACCTAACCACCAATGCTTTTTAGCTAATAACTCAGTTCTGACAGGGATCTTCCATCATTCTCAGCTGTTTTGTAAATCAATCAAGCAGAATGGTTTTTCCTGTACTGTTATTTTGAGAAAATGGTCAGAAATCACTTTTATTAAGCACAACAGGACCATATAATTCAATTCTTTAATGTTAGAAGCACTCAGGCATGTGAAGTGTTCATTCTTTCCACCTCACCATTTCCACCCTCACCCCCGCCCTGATATCATCACCAAAACACTGACCACGTAAGAAACTCAACTTTAGTTCCTTGGGAAAGTTCATAAAGACTTCAATATTGCTACTTTTCAACAGGGTTCTGATGTGATCATAGGTTGGGTTTTGTTTTGTTTTATTTTTATAGCATCAAATACCTCCTTTCAATCCAATAAGGTCTTGAATGAAAGACCTCAAAAACCCTTGACTCCCTTTACTCAAGAAATCTTCAAACTATGATCTATGGAGAAGTCAGTGTAGACTGTGGAAAGTTTATTAGGAGACTCAAACACCATTTACTGAGCCTAGAAATTCAGACAGTCACCTAACATGATCAGTCTGTTTCCTCATCAGTAAAATGGGAATCAATGACATCTATCCCACCCTACAGGGTTGCTTTAAGAATCATCATGATGATATTGGTTATATATTATGATAGGGTAAAAAACATCCATGTACTAAGGGACAGAGAAACTGATGCAGAGATTCATGGCAACAAACTCACATCTGGGAATGAGTCCAGAACCCAGAACTTTTTACTTCTACTCTAGGTTTCTACTCACTAGATCAAAAATGCCTCACTCCAAAAATATACAACACAATTAACTTCACTTCCAAAGGCTAAACCAAGCCTCCCGTGGACAAATTTCTAATATATGAGCCTTCTCAAACTTTAAGTACAAGTTCAAGATCATATTCATCAGATGTAACAGGAGGCATATTGGGATAATATTAATTAATTTTATTCCACCATGAAGTGAGTACCTCCAAACAGCTTTTAGTTCTCTCCCCGAGTAATGATCTTGTGTTCCCTCAAGTGCTATATAAAAGCAGTAGCAGGCTGCAGCCCATTAGGTGCAGAGAGGGATGCAGAGTAAGCAGGAAGGCTTAAAGGGGTACAATTGATGTGAACATCATATTTTTATTAAATCCTTCTCTCTAAAATACCAGTAGCAAATTGCATTACTGACTTTAAAGTACCTTTAAAAAATTAAATGCATATTTCTCACTCCCGGGGTTACTGAATAGAGGACCTAATCTCTACAGTCTCAGTAACAGAAATAAAGGATTAGATTGTTCTAGGTGGGAGAAAAAAACCATCTGACAGACAGAAAGTCATCACTTTTGCACCAACAGTTCTCCCCAGGGGATTTGAAGGTTGTAACAAATCTAAAAAGTTCTATATCTTTGGTTCTCCTGTCTTTGGGTTAAGACTAAAAACATTAGGTGACACTTCTGAAGCATTCTGGGTGGTGCTTTCCTGAGCTGAGAATAAAGGAAACTAGTCAGATTGTTTTCATCTTGATGACTCTAATTTCTTTTATATTGAACTTGAGTAGTGCTACTCATTTAACAAAAGCAACAGAAGAATAGATGTGTTCACTGCTCACACAGCTCTTGCAACTCCTGAGGTCACACACACACAAAAGGGGGACGTCATTCCTAACAGGCATCAGGGAGGGAGTGTCTAGAAATGATGGTTTTGAAGATGAGTTTTCTGTGATATTCTGCACAGAATTTTAATTGGAATTGTACTTTTAGGGATCTAATTGTTTCCTCTTCAGTCTTAAAATTGCTTTTAATAAGGTTATCTTTTAAAACTATATTCATTACAAACACCCCTTTCTTTGGTTGGACCTGAGAAAAAGTGAGGGATTATCTATCTATCTATCTATCTATCTATCTATCTATCTATCTATCTTTTCTATCTATCCATCCATCCACCTATCTATCTATATCTTCCCTTCTTTGACCAAGTATTAGTTGGAAAAAGAGTGTTAGTTGAAAGGAGTGTCAACAAAACCGTAATCAAAGGAGGTATCATATTTCCAGAAAAATTTCAAGGAAAAGTATACAAGCAACTGTAGAAGCTGTTGGATCAGGCTCTAAAGGAAAGGGGGGAGAGATTCAACGAGTTAGCATAAAAGTTGGAAATAAAGTTCTCACAGAATACAGAAGCACCAAAGTAGTTCTAGATGACAAGGATAATTTTTTATTTAGAGACGGTGGATGACATTGTTGGAAAGTATGCAGATTGAAATAAATAACTACTGAAATGGCATCACGTGAAGCTGCCCATTCCACTGAGGTTCTGAAAGCTTTCATAATGTAAAGAATGTCCATGTCTCCTTTCAAATAAACTAATGATATTCAAACTTCAAAGGTTATAAATAAAAAATGCTAATCTATCTATATTCCTATATTCCATACATTAGGAACAGGCAAGTAGCAGCATAGAACAAGCGTAAAGGAAAGAGGTCCTGGAGTCAGGTTACCAGGGATCGAAATCTGGCTCCTTATTATCTGTGAGGGCTTAGGTACATTTCTTAACCTTATTACTAAGCCTCAGCTCCACAGCTGTAAACTGGGGCTAAGACAGGCACCTACTTCATGGCATAATCATGAGAATTAAATGAACTATCCTAGAGAAAGCACCCAGAAAATGCCTGGTACATAAATGTTGGCCATCATTACATAGAGAAAACGGGATAAAGGTATAACATCAACCATCAGGGCATTTGGAAACCCGTGACAGCCAGCTCCCCGCTCCTGTGCCTCCTCAGAGTTTCCTTCCTTCACCTTAAGACATTTGTCTTCAAAGCCACGTTCATTCCGCTCTCTCAAGCCTCACTCAACCTCTCTGGATTGATCTTTCTCAACTGAAAAGCGGAAAGCTTGAACTTGATCATCTTGAAAGTGCCCTCCAGGTCCTTTTCGTTTTTTTTTTTTAAAGGATGTTAATTCTGACTGAGTCTGTTGGAAGCTGCTATAAGCAAGGTGAGACAAGGTCCTCAGGCATTACTATGCTTGGCTGGCCACACCGACTGAGAAAGATGAGGGCATCTACTACCCCCAAAAGGAGGAACTGAAGTCCAAACCTTGCTAGTAAAATTAAAATAGATAAGCAATAGCCATCCTTGGATAAATCATTCCACGGGAGTTTGCCTTGTTTAGGCAGTTCACTTTGGTTCTCCTCCCAAGCCCCAAGCTAGCCTCTGAAATTAGGTGGCTTTTTATCATTTAAATTTAGTAGGTTTTTTTTTTTTTTAAATCTCCAGTTCAAAGGCAAGCTGTCATTGAACATTTTAGGGCTACAAACAACTACACAGGTTTCAAATGACAGTATAGATTGGTTGGACATATTTTTATTAGCTTGGAAGCTCACACTTCATCAATGAGAGCAAGGTACAATGCTATGAATCCAACAGCTAAGTCAGAGTAACAGAACAGATGACAAGGAGGAGAATGACAGGAAGAGCAGGTTGTATCCTCAGCAGAAACCAACTGGAACCAACTATGTGGGCTTTTTCACACAGGTGAGCATGCAGGAATATTATAGCACAGGAGGTTTATTCCGTATTTGCCAAGAGCAGGGCCACACGCGGATGAGGCGGAACATCCCAAAGTGGGTGAGGCTGTTCCGTCCTCTCCCAACTGAGAGCAAATGCCAGCATCAGCACTTACACATTTCAAGCAGGAGAAAAGTAGAAGTCCTTTCTGTCTCAGGCTACCAGGGAAGCACAAAGAGTCCATTTGTGCGCTTCTTTGCTTAGCCTTTGCTTTTGTTAGGTTGGCTTGTTATTTTAATGAGAGGTCTAATTCAGGAAGATTTGCAAAGCCCGGATTGTCAAAGCAGATCATCCCAGACACTTACAAGTAGCCTGTTGCCTGGACAGCTACTTGGATCTCCCAACCCAAGCCAAATGGCGGTGCCCATGTCTCTGGACCTGTGCTCTCATGGAGGCTGGAAACCCTGACCACACTGATCTGAAGAAGTTCAGAATCTTTAGCTCAGCTCAGCTCAGCTGAGTGTCTTCCTAATCAGAGATCCTCTTTAATCTGGACTCATCCCCCTGGCTGTAACGTGAGAATGTGGAGCAAGGAATACCGCCCTGGACATGCAGACCCCAGATGGCTGCACTCTCTCATTCCACCCAAGTCCAGCAGTCAGCTCCGACCTCCAATCCCTGGACTCCACCTGCCAGCTGCAGCGACGGGAGGCAGACTTAGCCAAGCACTTCCCCAGCCATTTCCTCTGATGGTTGAAGCCAGAAGCCAGAAGCCCACCATTCTCTGTACAGGGCCCGTCCCAGGGTCCAAGCAAGCCTCAGTTCCCACACGAGGCCCAGGCCCCCGTGGGTAAGCATGCACACACAGAGAGCAGAGGGCTGGGCGGAGGACACTCCGGTAGCCACACCCACACTAATATGGTAGTGTGAACCCAGAAAAACAAAAGACAAGCTGGGGCGTGGGGAGGAAAAGGAAAGGAAGGAAAAACGAAAGAAACAAACAAACAAACAAACAAACCAAAAAACCCAACTATGATGGTTTTGCCCTCACTGTACGACAGGCCAGCCAAGACATACCTTTTGACTACGACTGCACAGCTGTTGGTTCTTGGGACTGCCGACAACGTGGATGGTCTTCTCCATCGCCCCAGGGACCTTGGGCAAGTGTTGCTTTGGTTTATTTCAGGAGGTGCTATTGGAAACATAAAACAAAGTGCCTGGAGGGCACTATAAAAAAATAGAAGAAGAGACACGGGAGACTTGATCATCCAACGGGAATTTATGTTTGTAAACAGGGGCCAAGGGGAGAGGGAGATATACTGTGAGGTATCATTCTTTCTTCCATGAGCGTGGCCTCAGGTTGCTTTGTCACTGCTGAGTCCATGACTTGCTGTTCAGATTCCATTCCTGCATTTGGAAATTGCTCTTCGCCAGGAGGAAAGTGAGGAGAAACCCAGCAACAACACCACAGCGGCTATGCTGGCGGAGGGGAGGAGCCCAGGAGGTGCTGGAGGGAGGCCACAGGCAGAGGCCCAGACTTCCCAGGAGCTGCTGACATTTTCTTGCAAGCAGGGAGGAAGACGGAAAGGTCAGGGAGCAGAAATGGGGAGGGGGTCTGCCGTAGGGAGCCACACACTTCGTGGGGTACAGAAAGTGCCATCATCTCCAGGCGAGGAAATCCTCCTGACTAGGTGTCCTTGAGTCAACCCCTCCCCCAGCGGCTCTCTCCCAAGCAGGATATCACTTCAATTGCTTTGATTTCCCTTCTCTCTCTCAAAAAAAAGTCCATATCTAATAATAGCTAGAATACATAAATAATAATTTTTAACGTTATTCGTTCTTTGTTTCCAAACCCAATGTTCCTCCTCTCTTCATTTTGCCAATAAATAGGAAAACTGAGGAAATCGACTCTGCTCGGGTCAAAAAGATGCCCTCCCTCCCCCAAAGAGAGGCAGTCCGCCTAACTTCCCATTTCTATGGCAAATAAACAGTACTTCATGATGCCATCTCTCTGAAGGACTGTTATCCTGCTCTTTTGTTCTGCTTTGTTTCAGTAGTTTGTGCTTCTGTTGTACATACCCAAAACAGGGGGGAAGGGGGGAAGGATGCGAGGAAGGAGACAGGAAAAAGCAAAGACGAAGGGAAAACCTAAAGTTGACTTTCATTTAAAAAAAATATATATCAGACCCAGAATAACGACCAAAGTCAGAGGGTGGCGGCTATTCGCCCAGAGAGTCTGTTCCGTGGGTTTAGCAACTGCCCTTTTTATCTGCTGTGGGCGAACCCCGGCCACTGCGGCGTCCTCGGCAGGAGCGAGGCTCTTCCAAATCGTCCTCATCAAAGCCGTGGAAAGTTGACGTGTCACTTTCTGATGTGGAACCGAATAAGTCCTCCGTGGTGCGTGCTGCGGCCGCTGCCTCCTCCTTCCTGCCTTCTCCTCCCAAATGAGCTGACATGTATGATGAATATATCAGCACATGGGTTAAGCAACAGACAGCATTATTAATACTCTTATTACATTCTTACAATGTTACTCTTAATAGCAAGATCATAAACCATTTCACACCAGAAGGGATTAGCTGGGTGTATCACCTGGTGACAGGGATTTGGGGTAACGGGACAAAACCAACATTTCCAGGAAAAAGGATTCCTCCCTCCCCAGAAAGGCATCATCTCTACCAGAATATATACATCCACAGCTCTGACAGCGACAGATTCAACCGTGGTCTTTTCTCTCCTCTTCCGTATGCATACATACGCATGCATGCTCGCTCAACCCCGCCCCAGACAGTGAGTTTCCTTGGTGGTTTTTAAGCCTGGTTGGTATTTCTCTGGTGTTCTCGGCTGGTGTTTCTCTTTGAACATTGTGTGTCCTTCACTTTGACAGTCAGCTTTACAAAGGTATTACTGTCAGATAACCCATTCGAGGTGGTTAAGCCTCCATCCGTTTTATTTTTATTTTTACCCGCTTCTAATCCCATTGTTTCAGCACCCTTTCAATTCTGCCCTTACACCATGTAGTTCATTTGCACTGAAAGCATGAAGAAGTTGATAAGTGGTAGGTAATAAAAGAGTCTCTCATTTTTTTAACCACTGGAGGAAATTCTGTGATCTGCACCTGCATTCATGAGCGTGCACGTATACATCTGTGTGCATACACGTGCACACGTGCGGGTACACACACACACACTCCAGCCACTAAACATGCCCAGGTCTTAGTTACTCCAGAAAGTCCAGAGCTGTCAAGTCTGCCTCAGAGCACTAAAAAAGCAGAAATAAGGGTTTATAAAGCCTAATAAAATATAGTATCCTGAAATCCATAAAACTCAGGTTCCAACTTATTTATATTGTAAATGGGCCCCAGGACTGCCCCCGAATGAGGTCATGATGTTTCACTGATGGTGTCAATTTCAAGAATCTCACTTTCTCCCCAGGAAATAGAGGTATGGGGTAGATGGGAAGGGAAAGACAGTTTTTCTGAGCTTCACATTCTTCCTTGGAAGGACTCCAAGGAGGCCCTAGAGAAGTATTCGCCCACCTGCCTTAACAAGCATATCTCATGGGCTAACGCCACCTGTTTACTCCCAAGGTATTGACTATTTCAGGAACATCAGAGTCAGACCTTGACTAAATCATCCACCAAAATTGGCAAATGCAATCAGAACACCTAGGCTGGTATCAAATGGTCCCCTGAGTCACATGGCAGACAGATCGTGGGAAGAAAAAGCTGAATAAAGGCTGTGAGGAGAGAGGCTTTGGATAGACAATACCAGCTGCCCACTTTTGGTCCCCCACAGATCAGAGTGAAGTACCCCCTCTTTTGTAGGAAAGGAAAGGGGAAAATTATAGCAGTTTGCAGTGAGAATTCTGAAGCTGCCCTCTCTGACGCACCCAAACTCAAAACAGCCCGTCACATTCTGCCTATTGCTCTGCCAGGTGACTTTGCTTCTGGCGACAGAGCTTCTGTCTGATCATTTGCTTTTAAAAAACACTGAATTGAATTTCACTTGTTTCGTTTTCTTTAAGTATTTCTAGAACTATTTGTTTTCTTTTAAGTATTTAAAACCCAGAGTCATATGTCACAAGAGCCCTCTCTTCTAGGCTAGCAATGGTAGGGTAAAAATTTCAGTGTTAGGTATTAGGTTTGGAAAGCAAATGAACATAGATGGGTCACCCTGTCAGGTCCTTAAGAGTTCAATGTTAAGAGTATGTGCAATGGAAACCATAGTCCTTTTTTAATTACCGATTTGCTACTCAAGTCAGTCTGGATCCCTAAACAACCCCAAAACCAAATATAAAAGGACTGAAGTTAAGGTTTGCAAGCAAGCAAAGGAAGAACTGAGTTGTTACAGTAAAGCCGGGTGTGGTCAGCTCAGTCCTTCCCATGGGACTCGGAGCAGAAAAGACACTGGGGAGAGATATGAAAGGAGCAATGACTTCTCACTGCCAGCACCAACCACCCAACTTAACTGTATTTCACCTTCCAGTCAGCACCAGATCAGACTAAAGATGAATCTGAGATCTTTTCTCCTCCCTGCCTTGTGCTTTGGCTCAGCTGTGACATGAAACAATATGAAAAATAGGTAGCACCAACCAATCACGACCAGCCAAAGATAATGGTTTGGTTAGATCTGAAAAACAAAACAACTTGAACAAAACCTGAAGACCTGAACTCATTTTAAGAATGAAAGAATAAGACCGCTGTCTTTTTGGTCATTTTAGTCTTTTGAGAGGTTAAAAGATGAAAATTTCAAAATCTGCCAAGTCAATTCCAGATTAGCCCTAAGCATACCTGCTCTTTTGCCTCCTTGATCTATCAGGGCCTCTTTTGTCTACATTATATGAGAAAATGGGATGAGTGGCCAATGGAGGTGGTATTTACACAGCTGCCCATGAGCCCAGGGGTCTCAGACTCCCACAGTTCCAGATGTGGCTTCTCTCCCTATATTCATGTTTCCACACTCTCCCAGTTTGCCGCAGGCACTTCCGTAGAACAAACACATCTTTTTTTGTTATGTGCACATCATCCGAAACAAGGAAGCATGTTGCCCGTGTCGCCGGGTATTTCCCGGACACTACCTGACTGCTGTCCACAACACGCACAAAGAAATATCCACCTCATGGAAAGGCCAGACACAAGCCAAAAACTCCTTTCCCTTTTCCCTACATCTCAGGGCATAATTTTGGTTCTTAAAACTCAAAGAAGAAAAATACAAAAATGACCTGAAAACTCCTCTCCACTCAAAATCACCATCGACACTTCTCCACGCGAGCCTTCAACCTCCATATAAGACGGCACAGGGATGCAAGTGGAAGAAGTCCCAGTCTATGGGCACAGATGCAAGAAGGGGCCACACTCACCAGAGCGTCCACAGTCTGCACAGGACACCAGCTCCTCAGGCCGTCCGCTCTTCTTGTTCATGTTAGAGCCCCCCAAGCAGAAGTCACAGTAGTTGTTGGGAATGACTGTCCCATCCGGTCCTTTCTGGGCTATAGAAACATTAAAAAAAAAAAAAAATCCGATTTTTGACTGCCATGAGTTTCTACTGGCCCCTCCTTTCCCATGGTGACAGAATCTGCTCCAGAAAGAATATCAAGTCTAGAATGTGAGATTTTGTTACAACCAAAAAACCAAAAAGCTATTAAATTGGGCTAAGTTTTCTTTTTGATCCTTCTCAGTTCAACAGGTCTAATACCTTGCAAGCCATCCAACGTTCAGTTTGATTTTTGCAAAACCCATCTCTGTGTTTTTACAGAAACTACTTTTGCTCCTCTGATTGGATTCCCTGGATGAGCAAAGCATTCAGAAGGCCTACTAGTCAAGTAAACTTCTCTCATCCCTGAACAATCAGCCCTCAGGCCTTAGGCTCAAACAGCAGGTAGCAACCATAAACATTGGTGAGATGAGAGGGAGAGAGAATGGTCAATGCCTAGGCCTTGCCCTTGGGAAAGATGCTCTTATTTAGGAGATATTCCTTCTGTCCCTGAAAAGAAAAAACAAAGAAACATCGATGGTAGTCATTTCCAGGAAGGGCATCTCCTTCCAGGAAGGACATCGAGGAAGCTTCCGGGCACTCTGGTCAACATCCTGGCATACCCATAAGTGTCCACTTTCATTCGGCCTCATCTCCCTAAAGTCCAGACTCATTGGTATGGAGAAAACTCAGGACTAGTTCATCAGCAGACTTCAAGCACCTAGAATCAGAACTGGACTCTTAGTCTAGCCTCATGCCAAAGATAGGTTAATGGTGAGTTAGTAAATGTGTCTTAAGGCTTAAGATCTTCATAAGCCACCCCTGCTCAAAGTCCTTATCCAAAGGCAAATAAAAATCTTAGGACATGATCTTAAAAACAAAACATGTGAGACGGCACATATTCTCAAGCACTGAAATCATTCTCAGTTCCTAGGGGCTGGCTGAAAAGCCTTGGACAGGTTTCTTCACAGGGGGAGAAATGCTTCCATTCTCCTGTTTTTCAATCCCCATCCCTATTGTGGAGATTTTTTTGTCACATTAACACTCCCTGTTTGCAACTAAGAAGAAAAGTCTGTCTGTTTATGGGATCAGCCCAAACCACAGGGGTATCTTCTTCCTCACTATACCCAATGTCTGCTGCTATCTTTCATTATTTACTGGCTAACATTAATCAGGGTCCCGTAGGGTACAAATCTGTAAAAGGAAGCAGATATGTGAGCAAAAATACCATCCAGACAGTAAGTGATAAACGGATTCACCCACTTTAATATGATTCCCTCTGGCCTTCGCTTCCTCCATGCCTCTTCTTTGCCTCCAGGAATAGAAAAACTTACCTGGGGAAGGCAGAAGACAAAAGCTTGCAGAATTACATTATAGAGAGTTAATCCATTTATCAGTTGCTATTTGGATTGTTTAATCAGTTTCTAAGTCATTGATTTTCATCTTCAGGGAGGCAGCCAGTTCTCTGCAAAAAAAGTGTTGGCTATTGGGGGCAGACAGGTGAGCTGGCCACCCTCATGGTCTGTTAAGTGTCTTCATCAAGCACTGTGTCTTAAAGACATGACATGTCATACAGAACAGTTTTGCAAATAATCTCCTCAAATCAGTATACCAAAAATTTTTACCCTATCTATATTTTTCATTCCCCAAATCCAGAAAGAAGCTCCTTTCTTCTTTCTCTCTTATTTGCCATCTTCACCATTTTTAGGACTCCCTTAAGAAATTCCAAGCATGTCTATGAAGCAAATAAACTCAGGGTTTTACCACTACAGACTATCCTAGAAATCAATTCAAAGGTGAACAGGAAGAAGTGGGGAACATGAAATTAAGGGGATGAGTGTAAACGAAAGCTAACTTTCACGATTGATATGAACTAGAAAGAAAATGTGGCCATGCCAATCCTAACTTAGGTAGCTTCCCTCAAGAACAGCATCAAAGAATTCCACATAGATCATTCCGCTAAAAGTCTCAGGAGCCACAGCCTCACCATCTGTCTCTCCTGTTTTCTTAGGGACTTTCTATTATGTCAGATTTTCTCCCCTTTCACAAAATCTTAAAGCAACCAAAGAATCTGGTTTTCTCCAACACACTATATGCCTTGTGATTTATGAGGATGAAGTAGAATATAGATTGTAAGAACTCCCAGGTAATTCTTTACAGCCTTCACCACCAACAGACCATCGGTGGGATGCTCTCATCGAATCAGGAACTCCAATACTGCAAGAATTAAAAATTCAGAAATGATCTAGTAGAGCAAAGTGGATAGTGATAGAGAAATTGGTCCTGTATAAAAAGACCAAAGGAACAGCATTTAATTTACCTAACGAAGAGAAGTTTCTGAGAAGACTGGATCAGAGCGGGATCCCCATATATATTTGTTTTGGTTGCTGGCCGTACAGAGTGCCTGGCCAGAGGGGTGAAGAAGGTGCTAAGACCCAGTTGTAGGCCCTGCTGTGTGTGGCTGTGACATGTCAGGGCCAGGGGGAGGAGAAGGGTACCATTTTAGTCTATCAATGACTCAGTATTGAAAGTGACAGTGAATAGTTATGCTTCATTTTTGGCAAAATTCTACTCTCTTCTCATAATAGTGAGCTCAGGGCTTCCTTTCATCTTGGTACAATGGTGTGAGATAGGCTAATGGATAGCTTCTGCATTTGGTTCTCTTATACTTTTTGGTATTTAGGACTGGCTTCAGGGTGAGTTTTCTCATTACGTTCTCCCAACTCCCCAGCCAAAGTGACCAGTCAGGCCTTGGGGAGGACACTTTGTTGACATCACTTTTATGACCCTTCTCTTGTTTATACATGTGTACACTGGCCCCACCAACATGTACTAAATGATCTACTCCTTCTGGTCTGGCACTATGTCTAACTCATTCACTCGAACACCTACATGCCCTGCATGCAGGAAATGGTTAACCACGATGTGGAGGATGAATGGCTTAGAAAAGATGGCAGAGATGTGAGTAGACAGCCCAGTAACACCCCTGGGACATCCTCCTAGTGGGGACAGAGCACTGCGTCTGCTTTCCCTGTGGCAGAGTTATCTGTCGCTCTGAATATCATTCACTACATGGTTTATTTCCCAAATCCTCAGAGAGAAGTGCTGGTCCATGTCCAGATGGATCAGTCAGTCATCTAGCCCAGCATAACATCTAGCTCCCAGAGTAAATAAGAGTGGGTGGCTGAGGACCCTGGGGTGCTGGGAAGAATAACCCTGTAGCCCTACTATGGGAGGAGAAAGGGCATCCTGTACACAAACATACAAGAAAGTAGACTACAATTCATTTTCTCTTGAGAAGGGGACACCAGGTTGCTACCCACTTAGCCTCCCTCTTGTTCAACGGCTTCTTGAAAAGAAAAAGAAGCAGACATTTATTATACTACAAAACTGTGACGGATCTTACGCAGGATGCTTTACATACATTATTTTATTGATTCTCACAAAAACTTTGTGAAATGGGAATTATTTGACCAATGAGGTAACTGAAACTCAGAGAGATTAAGGGGCTGGCTTCAGGCCCTTTCTGAAGTGCAGGAGGGGAGATTCACCCCTGGGCTGCCTATGTCCCCAGAGACTCTCTGCCTCCTGGAAAGTCCAGAGGCAAACACTTCCTGGCCATACCTTGCATATAAACTATTTCATAAATCTCTTTCGAGTGAACTTGATTCACCCATACGTCAATTAGGAAGCCCAAAGGGATCAAAATTACTGAGGTTGGCCTAATAAAAGCAAAAACTCCCTTTGAACTTAAATGTGATGTCCCTCCACAATAATCCACACTGGGTGATCATGTTTACTGTCACATACTCTGCAAAAACCCTTCTCTGGAGAATTCCAGAGGCTCTGGAAGGAATTTTTTCAAGTAAAGCTTACACCACAGCTATACTGGCCTATGGCCTGACCCAGCCATGAGCAATTTCCTGGTACCGTGTATGAGATCATTATAAAAAGGATTTTACTATAAATAGGAAGCTCACCCAGACCTTGCAAGAGGGATTTAAATAGAGATCCTGCTTCTGCCTATGGGAAATTGAGTCCCACTTTATAGAATAAGACAACAAGAGGGCAAAGACCCGAGCGGTATCTCGATGGCAATGTCTGTAAAGATGGATTTGGTTTTTCATCGATTAACGTTCATGGGCCGAGATCATATAAGAGATACAAGGGAGCTGCCGAGAAAATAAAGTGAGCCCTAAGAGTTTAAGAATTTACCTGGGGGAGAGAACTCTAAAAAATCTCAAAGCGGGGGATGGAAATCAAGAACAAAGTTCATGAAGAAAACACACACACACACACACACACACACACACACACACACACACACAAATAGATAAACAGAAGATGGGAGGGAGCATTCAAATCAAACCAAAAGAAAGCAAAAGCCAAGCCCCAAATAGTATCCCCGCCATGCCTGGTAAAGGATGAGCAGTCATTCTGGAAAGGTCTCAGTGTACGCTACAGGATTTTTGACTCCAATCAGGCCACATGTCTATGGCAAACAAGGCCCCAAGATGGGGCCGTCTTCGCCCCTTTCCGTCTGATCTCTGCTATGATATGCCTGCCCTTCATGAAAAGAAAGAGTGGCAGGGACAGTCTGGCCACCAGCAACACCCCCTCAGCTGGTTCTGCCAAGACCAAAGCTGTGTCCCAAATGTCCCAGGGAAATAGGAAGCAAGCCAGGAGTTGAGGCTCCTCTGTGGCACACCCACAAAAGCGTGACTTCACATCCCGAGCAGATGCTCAGCCCGCCTGTCAGGGCCTGGCGTGCACAAGCACGCAGCCATGCTCCGTGCCCACCACCCAGCCGTAGTCCGGGGACCCTTTCTTCCAGGGCATGCTGGTTGGGTGTGCAGCCCTTGGGGAGCCTGAGGGGCAGCGAGAAGGGCCCTCCAGGAGGAGCTGTGCCTCGCCCCTCTCCCTTGCTCCGCCACAGCCCTCCACAGCTGACAGTTCCCATCCCTCCACAGGGCTGACCTGTTTCCATGGCAACCGGAATCCTGGGCTCTGGCAGCC